GACACAAGTGAAAAGAAGTGGGAGACAAATGAAAGGAAGTTGGGGAGACAAGCCAGCCAGAACCCGACCACAAGCACCAGTGTGGGAGACAAATGAAAAGAACTGGGAGACACATGAAAAGAACTGGGAGACAAATGAAAGGAAGTGGGAGACAAGCCGGCCGGGAACCCGACCAGGCCATCCAGCACCAAGGCGACCATTCTTTAAAGCATTGAGAACCCCTAACAGTAAACTGTTTGGGGAAAAAATAAACGTTTGGGCATGTTTGGGCCTAAGTTCCACCAGCCCACCCTGTTTGGTGAAACCCCTAAGGGCACGAACTAACTCCACCTTTCGTCAGCCATGGTTGAAGCAGACGGTTGACCTTTCGTCAACGACGAACCCGTACCAACACTGACAGGTGATAGAACTGAACTCAGTTTTCCATATTAGAGTCGTCTGATATCTTTCTCTAGCCAAATGGGCATCTCGGCCAAGGCTGCTCTTGGCTCTTATCAAGTTATCAAGCTCTTTGTGCAAACTTGTTTTGAAGTCGAACGGGCTCAGCCTCGGCGACTATCCTCGGCAACGAAACACAGCTCCCCAAGGCACCAAATTCTCTGCATCCTGCTCATAGATCTCAGGAGGTGCATGAACATAGGCCAAGCAGACGTATCCCAAGATCGAGTGGAGGGCTTCAAGCTCTCCGTCGCTGAGACTTGCAATGGCCTGCCGAGTCTCCTGGCCAAACAGATCAAAGCACGTTGGGCTGCAAAGTTCTATGACTGTGCAGACATTGCTTCTTGTGTAGAGTTGTGAAGTGGCAGGCCGTGTCTCCCATTGGAAGGGCTTCGATATTCTCGCCGGTTCAGGTGCTTTCCGGAAGAGTCTTGGTCCGTTCAACGCCCGCGATCAAGGTTCCCTTGTTGCGTTGGCTATTGGGAATAACGTCACCAAGAGTCACTTGTGAAGTATGCTCGAACCATTGGTGATGAGTTTTGCGCTTATGTGGTGGGACAAAAACCAAACATCACAGAGTGTTTGAGTGCGTGCATTTGCAAGACTGGTGTGATATGCACCAATCGCTGTTTGAGACCCAGTGAAGCCAAATGCATCTTGGAAGTCCGGCATCTGGCCCACTGATTGCGAAGGTTGAAAGTGCAAGATGGAGCTTGCTAATGACTGGCCACCTGTAAAAATTCCTGATGTCTCGGACACCAAACAGGTTTTTACTGAGAGGCTTCACAAATTACCATGTTCTCTTCTGCGGTTGTCCTGGGGGGCTCAGGCACAGAGGTCGTTGGCTCCGCTCTGACCAAAGTAGTTCCCAGGGCGAGGTCTTCGCACTTGGCGCACATATTTGGATTGTTCTGACCCATTTCTTCGTCGGACTGGAAGATGGAATGACGAGGACGACCTTCTGCTTCTATCAAAGAGGTAACCTAACTGAACTTGGTAGCAACTCCAATCAACAATGTATGGGCCTGCGCCCTCAACCAACAACCAATGTCAACAAGCAATGTCAACACAACCAATACAATCACCGTCCGGTGGTGAACACAATGCACAACCTAAGTGCTTGCGAGTCTTTTCCGCTCACATGGCTCGAAGTCGTACGACAGCCCTCCCTGACGATCAAATGGCCACGGATGAGTTCACATGCCTTTCATGCTCAACATGTTCAAATGGATCTGACATGCCCTCTAAACTCACACTAACGAAGTCACCAGGTATAGCACGCAACCTGGACACTCCTTTGGTACACAAAAATCTGTACAGTTGGATTTGTGGTACTCAAGATTTGCAAACGTGCTTACAGTGATACATCGTACATTTGAATCCTTTTGCCTTCCATTCCACCTTGGGCTTCGATGCTTCTGACCGGATGCCTTCGATCCGCGCTTCGGCTCGAAAGGGGCGTTCCGGCCATGCCGCGGAGCGTTCCACACGTTCCGGTTCGGTCCGCTTGGGCAACGGGTTGGGCGCCCTCCTCCCTTCCGCCAGCAGATGGGAAACGAGTTGGTTGGACATCGACATCGGTTTTCGCCTCGAACCAGGACAGCTGGCACCCAACTTACCTTCGGAGCAAGAAGAACACCAGGACTGCCGGTACGTGCTAAGGGACAAATCCGCTGTTGCTGACGAAGCCCGAACTGATCTGAATACCCATCTACATGTTTTTGTGCAGTTCTTCAAGTGGTTGAGTTCGCGCAACCACATGTGGTATTGCCCGATGTTGTTGAGGTGACCTATGGCCGAAGTGCAGTCAGAGTGGGTGAGAGCACGATCAATTTTCCACCTGTCAATTGGTTGGATGCGTCTTCCATTGTTTGAGTCTCTGTCTTCCATTGTATTTGCCTTCCGCATGGCTGAGGGTAATCGGCCGCTCGCCCGTGGGCCGCTCCTTGTAGGAACTCGGCAGCCGAGGCCTCAGCTCCGTCTCCGCCAGCTCTCGGAAGCGGGCCTGAACAGCCTGGACCATGCGCCACGACATCCCAGGACTCGCGGAATGCGATGGACGACGCGTGGGTGATGTGGGACAAAGAGTTGAAGAATGCTATCTGACCCACACAGTGGCAAGCAACTCAGCTTGGGTGAAGCCTTTTTCCGAATGGGTCAAAGTGGCCACAAGTTATTGTGGTGACGGGGGACAATAATTTTGCATATAATATATATATATATATAATTGATGCTAGCTTTGCACTTGGCATGCCAATCCTACACGTGGATCAGCCAAACGAGGGCGGTTAGTTAGTTCATTCACAAAAGTGGATAAATGGGTATACATGATGCACCATGGCAAGCCATCTGGCCATACCTTCCTTCTTGAGACCCACAAAAAAACGACCGCGTGAAACACACCACCATCTTCCCGTGGCATCTCCATCCCGCAGCCGTGGCGAAAATCCCTCGCTCCCGAGCGGCAAAGCTGGGGATGAACTCAGTGAGTTGCCCCAAGCAGTCCCAGGGCCTCGGCAGCTCCTGAGAACCGGAGCTGCCCATCCGATGACACATGAGAAGTGCACTGCACCTCACCAAAAGAACCAGTGGAGTGAAGAAAACGTGGCGGTTGAGATGTAGAAGTCTAAGACAAAAGAACTAGAAGCTTGCTCAATAAGTTGACCTCAATTATACTTTTGAATATGTGCCAATATAATATATGAGTGGCTTTGTAGCGCAAGCCATTCCTACATAGCCCGGCTTGAGAGCTTCACCGCAATCACCAACTTCCACCGTTTGGCAACTTGTGATTCAAATAGACGGGCGAAGCTGACCTGCTGGGTAGGACGGTCCAACAAAAGAGATATCTCGACATCTTTTGAGAAGCTGGTATCTCGCATGATGTGATCTTGCCACATCATGGCCTCTTGATCCCTACACCCTACCTTGATGCCATCAAGGTTGATCCCAAAACCAGCATCCCGCCACAGCCCGCCAGTCTCGTTGTCCCGTCCTTCACAGGGTCTGCAGCTGGCAAGAAGCCACGGCCCTTCACGTCCCACCATTGGGGATCACTTTCAGAAATCCCATCACGGGAGCTGGCTCGCCCTCCAGTCAGCCTAAGATCGGCTGTGCGGAGTCAGGACCGTATCTAGGAGATGTGGCAAAAACGAAACAGACAGACAAAAAAAGAAAAAACAAACAAACAAACAAACAATAACGTGTATGTAATTTAATATTATAAACAGTTATACACAAACACAATCAATATGGCAGCTAGGCTCACTCACTAACTGTATAGCTAACTAACTTCTACACATACTTAGCTTCATTGTATGGAGTCTGGAGCTCATATGTCCTCTCCATCCCCCTGCTGAAAATGTTCACAATTACACTTCCGAAGAAGACCTATGATTCTCGGGGCCCAGGTCAGCTTTCTTCACAATGATTCACAACAGCACACCGGCCCACCACGCTCACCCACACTACCAGCCTCCATCCCACACCTTCATCACCCAGCAGCGTGACACGTTCTCGCGCCTGGCTCTCCGCCATGCTCTCACCGGGCTCCGCGGGCGCTGCGTAGCGCCCCACGAAGAGCTGCTCCAGCTGCTTCTGCGCCAGCTGCGAGTGCCGCATCGTCTCGAACCTCGGAGGTGACGAAGCAGCGCCGCCAGCGTCTCGAACGGGCGATGGATGTGAAGCGAAACCACCTTTTCGGAGGATGGTTGGAGCTACTTTGATGGGACGAAACCGAGCGCAAGTAGCACTTCTTGAGCTTCTTGAGCTTGAGCTTTACAAAGCACACGATGTCTAAGGACACGGAGAACATGGGCCCACTTCTCGCCCCAAACAGCACCAACCAGCCTTGCTGGCCAAAACACTCGACTGTGGCATCACCACCCAGCACACCGAGAAGGATGTCCTGGCCCCCAGGATGCTTCACCATGTAATCTTTCCTCAGCCAAACGCACCAGCAGCCCTCCACAAGAAACACACACTAGTTAAGCAGGTTGCCACAAGGAGCCACAAGCACACTAATGTCTAGATCTGGGCGATTCCTAGTACGAATGAAGGCAGGCAAATGATCGCACCCGGTGAAACCCCCACGCCACCCCCACGTCCAGTGCTTGGCCAGAGCTTCACATTGTAGACCTTCCCGAAAATGACCAGCCAGCCATTCGCCCTTACGTCCGCAGCAGTGATGCTGGCCTCCGCTTTGGCGCCGGCGCGGTGTGGACATGCATTTCCCATTTCTGGGAGCTTCAGTCCATGGCGCGGCGCGAAAAAATCGTAAGCCCTCTAGTTCAGAACAGCTCCGGTGGCCTAGATGCTGAGGGCTTCACTTGGTCCCCTCTTGGTCTTACACGTCGGAACCATTTCCTCTTCTTCCTTGTCCATTTCCTGAGGGCCTCTGGGCACCTCTGGTCCCTAGCTCAACCGCCAGTAGAGGCGAAGGCTTGAGCCATCCCTAACGTCTGGCGGCACTCAGTCACCCCTCTTGGCTTCATGTGTCATGCCGCGGTACGTAGGAGCCGGCGAGCCGGGGAGCAGTATGGACCAATCATGCCTGACCTCTCCTCATAGCCGACCTCTTCGCAGAACTTCACAAAGTTCTCCGCGGAAATCCGCTCGGACTCCTGATAGAGCTCAGCATAAATCAGCACCTACCACCTACAGCACTCGCAACTGCGAAAGCTTCTTCATCCCTTCACGACTAGACTATATAAATTCTATAGTTCACTGGATGGCGACAACCTCATATTCTCAACACTGACCTTCAGGAAGCAGTCACATGTGCGCTTGAACGTTCAAACACGCATGCCCATATGTTCACATACTTCTTCACTTCACCATAGAATACCGTGGATCTGCAAGAAATATATACCTTCTCTCCAGCTGCAGCGTAGGTCAACACAGCTGACCAATACCAGTAGACCACGAGACCCATCTACTACACGGCCGGGCCATTCCATGCAATCTTTGAGCATGTGAGTCAATACCCCCCAAAAATAGCACACAGTTCAGTAGTTCATCTATCTATTGCGAAGGCTAGCGGCACCACCAGTCTGCAAAAAAACCAGCCTGGTAAGGCTTCAGCTGCGCCTCTGTGGGGGCATAGCCCTGCAGCCGCGACAAGTGCCCCAGCTGAGCACCTTTCAAAGGGCCATGGGCCTGGCTGGTCTCCAACAACCTTGTCTCAGCGACGACATGATCGACCCTCTCTCCATTGGCCCAGCTCCCTCACTGGGCCTTCTCCCAATCGCCATGAGCCAAGGCCAAGCGCCGGGCCTGCGCACCGTGCGCGCCCCATCGAGGCCTTTCGACTCGACCGGACGCGTGGGAACACCGGAACGAGAAGAGACCCCCCCACTCACCTGCCTGGGAGGTGCATCCGCCTGGCAAATACAGGCCAATGGAAGACTCTCGAATGTTCGGATGTTCTAGCGTCAAAGGTGCCAGCACCCCGCCCCTCTCGGCAGAATGGAGCTCCATCCGCTTGATATGGCCAGCTTCCATGCACCATGCAAAACTGGTCTCCTCTCCTTCTTGGTCCATTGGCTTCCGGCACAGCGCCAAAGCAGCCGCTTTCACTTGCTACCAAGTGGCCATGGGCGAATTGGAACGACCATGTATGTGGTGTATATATGTATACATATCTCTATATATATACTGTATATAGTACAGATATCAGCTATATAGTGTTTGCACTTCGGTCTCTTGAAACTAAGGATATCCCCTTTATAGACACATGCTTTCGCAGCTTCCGCTTTTCTTGTCCTAGGCCATTGCAGAGCAATGTCTGGCTGATTCCATTGCGTGATGGCCAAGCTAAAAGGTTGCAGGGTGCACATCGTCAAACAACTTCAGTGCATCAAACCACGAAGTCGCCTTCGGTTGGAGTGTTAAGATAAGAGGCCTCCTGAAACCTTCCCTGCCATGCCCCCATGCGCTCGCGGCCCTTTTTCACCGTGCGGAGCTTACAGCAGCAGCCGCTAGGGTGCCAAGCATGGTCCGGAAAGCGAGGCCCACCACAGACGAGAGCCACCAACAGCCAAAGAAGGGCCTGGCTGTCACAAGAAGTGCGGCCAACGGTGCGTAAGTTCAGTCATGCTTACCCGAGGATGGAAACCCTGCTGCTGAGCTGCGTGAAGTTCGACCTCCACGTGACCAACGTACCCCCATCCAACGCCTCAAAGCTCACACGAGCGCGGTTGTAGCCTTAACGCGCAGCCAAACCGCAGACAGGGGATGAGGAGAACACTTGGTTTTTGCTTGTCTGGTGTATGTTTTCATTTCACCACTCCACCCCCCCAAAAAAATAATGCGGCGAATCATTTCCTTTGAGCGATACATCTTCTGCCGCTATATAACATTTCTTGCCAAATTCGAGTTTCTTCTGCTCGCTTGGGTGGTGATTTCTGGTGCTCTCTTGTTGGTCTGCTTGTTGTTGTTTGTTCATGTATGCGATACTGTGGCTCACCCCTAATGAAAACAACAACTTCGGCTTGCATCGGCTTGCTCCAGGAAACTTGTAGGCCAAGGCCCCTTGTCAATGGTATATTCAATGAACTTCCCTCTCTCTGCCTCGCTGTTGCGATGAGCATTCTTTCAAGTGACAACTTGGCACCACCCTTATCTACTGGACGACCCTGCTTAGTGGACAAGCGGTTGGGACACCAACCACGAAAGCAAAACTAGGCGACACAGGTACACTTGCCAAAGCTATGAATGGCCCTGCATAATAATTTGCCATCTTTGCTCACAGCTTCCAGCCCCATCTTCTGTTCAGAATAGATTGTTCAAAGCACTAAGTAACTGCAATCATATATAATCAGGCAGATGGTTCGTGACTTACACCTCCCATATGCCATACACCAACTCAACCCGGGTCCGTGTCCGTCTCAAGGCCTCCTGAATCCGCTCCACAATGCAAAGCCCCACACGTCGCGCGCAGTGTCGACCACTGGGCTCGCCCTCCTCCACAATCCGCGGAGCACCCAAACCGCCGCCTTGGTCGAACGAGCCAATCGCTGAAAAACGCTGAGTATCGGACGGGCGACTGGGTCGTCCTAGGTCCGTCTTAGTCATCCGTCGTGCCATTGCTTACTCAAAGGGGAACCATCCACTACTTTCTTACTGATGAAGCTGGAGCCCTGACTTGTTGGCCTTTCGCGCGTAAAATGTCGAATTGGGATTGTCCATGACCATGATCCCACCCAGAATCACATGCAATTACAAAAACATCACTCATACTTGCACATGCCCCTCCGTTAAAAAAGAATGAACTTTCCACATCCACCACTCGCCTCCACTATCAGCGGATTCTTTTCCCTCCAAGCCTTGGCGCCAAACCACCTCGAGGAACATCTCGTAGCAGCTCTCTACCTCCAAACGGACAAACTGCTCCTGCAGCAGTTGAATGGCGACGCGTCCGACCCCCGCGTGCTCCGACCTGGCTGGGCTGGGGTCGCTTGGCCGGACGGCCGACCCCGGTCGAAAAGCGACCCCGGTCGAACGCGTTCGGCGTCCGATCCCCAAAGCGGTCGATGTCGTCCCACCGACCAAACCGGGTCCTCCTTGACGGTCACGCTGCCCCCCGTCCATGGCGAGCGGCTTTCTTTTCTGCGCGGCCAGGAAGGTGAAGACTCCAGCGATACATGTGGCATCATGTGGAAAGATCAAGAACAAAACTCGGCAGACCAAGGGATACCTCACCTTGACATGCCTTCTGAACACAGCTGTATATCTGTATGTCACTGTATATCCATTATGTGATCGCGTGATGTCTTGAACTGACTCAGCTTGTGGCACGAATGCGGGCGACACTTTGCATGCAAAACAACACTGATTTCTTCACGATGTTTAGTGTTGCATGGCCATGGCTCTCGTTGCACCAAATCACAATAAATAGAAGTTTAAAAAAATGTCATCCTTCAGAGTTCCTTAGCTGATTCACCAACTGAACCTGTGGCCACCTTTGTTTTGACATGCCCATGTCCACGAATCCTGACCGCTGTGCCGAGTACAACTTCTGTCCCCTGCCACTTGGGCTGCCGACACTTCGACGGGCCCGACATATTCCGCCACCTCTGAAGCAAATTGTAGGATGTCCAAGTTGCCAAGGAACCGCTGAGCATCGAAGAATGAGATCATGCTGAGCATCGACTCCCCTAGTCAGACTCGTTTGTGGCACACCGACCTCTCGTTCCCTGACGGGCACCTGAGGCAAGGCCTGTGCCCAGGACGCCCAAGAGGCCGGCAGCGCCAAGGGGGGCGGTGGCTCGGGGCACCAAAGCCTCGCTGGGCGAACGGATCGTCGCTGCGTCGCAGCTCACGGCACAATGTTTGTCGTACATGATCTCAGCAGGTGGCACCACGGCACCACCACTCTAGAAACTAGAAACCGGTTCAGGTTGGGAACCAGTCTCACTAGCCAGGCTTCAATCAAAGGACACCCTCAGAATGACCTTCAATCTGTGATGTATATGCGCCAAGCGCCAGGTTCCTCAATGAGGAGACTTGTCAGGATTATTCAATGCCTCGGTAAAGGGATTGGTTTTCCTTTTGAGACCTGCCAAGTCCCACGCTTCGGGTTCCGAGTCTGGTCATTCAGCCTCTGGGAACATGGGGTTCCTTCTTTTGGACGTCTGGCTGTCTTCCCACCACGCCGAGCCACGGTCCACACAGCAAGCCTATGCCCGTTTCCTGCTGCTGCTGCAGGGCCTCAAGCCGCTCCAGCAGGGATTGGCATGCCAAAAGCTCCTGCCAACAGAAAATGGCGTGGCTTCAGCGACTGGGAGAACGGTTTCTTCATCTCGTCAAGGCGAATTTGAATCTGATTTCCACTCAGCGCGGGAAGGCGAAAAGGCGAAGAAGCAAGAGCCTCTAGTGTTTCTCAACATGGCGTCTTGTGTGGTTCTCCGATGTGATACTTTGCGGCATGCAACCGCTCGCCGCGCAGTTCTCTAGGGGGTTCTCTTTCGGCATTGCGGCCCCAAACCCTACCGGCCTCTGCTGATGGTGCCCGGGTCTTGGCCTAAGGTGTGCTCACCGTCGTGTTAGAACTCAGAGACCGTTCAACATGGTTCAACCGCTCAAGGGTTGGGCCGACCGATCGACCTCTGGGGCACAGCACGTGCTGCAAAAGGTGTGCGGCCTGACCGTTGATCAATCCCACTGACGTTGAACACCCGCTTGAACACAAGTGAATAGAATAAGAATAGAATGCAGCCGTTTTTCATGTGAGCAGGCAACTCCACCAAAGTGTTTGCTGATCATCACGTGTTGGAAATTCTGCACAATCAAGCCCCGGCTGGGTCGGTGGCCAAAGTCCAAACAATCAACCCCAATGAGGACCTTTTGTGCGAGGGCACTCCGTCCAAAAGTATGACTCTGATTCAAAATGGTGCACAACCTTCTCCACGGCACTTGGCCATGAGAGATTCCATGAATATGTCGTGGGCCTCAATTTGTTCACCATCTCTCAAGGCTGGTCGGTTCAATCGTTCTACCACCCCCGGGCCTCGGCCCACCTGCCACACGCCCCAGCCGCTACGGCCGCAGTGGCACAACCCTGCACGTGCAAGCGCCGCACAAAAGAGGAGCATGTAATGCCGCATGTAACCAATCAGGCACCGGCAAGTGTTCAGAGGGAAGATCTGAACTGTTCAAAATCAAAAACCGTGTGTTTCAACTTTGAAGCTTTGAAACCTCCATTGTTGAATTGCTGTAGCAGTGGCAGCAAACACACACCCCACCTCTACTGAGACTTGAAGTTCAGGTGCGTTGCACTCAGCCAAGTGCCAGGCCGAAGCGGCCTGCATGCCAGGCCAGCGGCACACATAAGAAATTGCGACTGTCCCATACGTTCATGCTGATTTTGGACTGCACGACCTCGCGCAACACCCATTCACCCACACACCTCATCACAAGCCAAGTGTTGCTGAATCTGCTGCCTCAAACAACGGCCGCCCAGTGGCGAAACTGTTTTTTCTGCGTAAAATGTAGTCCATGCCGATCAAACAAGCCACAATGTGTCCACCCGGCTGCCCCACAATGATTGGCCTGCCGGCGCATGATGCATGCGGGGCACAATGAAAGCTTGGCTTTCGTTGCGCAAGTGCCACAACTGAACAAAATCATTGCACGCCTATGCGTTTCAAAGCTGTAAACGCCATCCACCCAACGCCTCTTCGCGATATACAAACGAAACATTTAATGCGCTGCAATGGGTGGTGCGGATCTTGAAATTAACACCACCGGCCTTCCGAAATGGAGCTTCACCGCGTGCATCACCATGCCACGTTGCCATGCTAGTTGCTTGTCAACACGTGCTGGAACTGTACATGTTGGTATGCGAAGCGTGGGTTTCAGGCCTGCACGCGGTCCCACCCAGATGTTTCCGATTGCATGATGGTCCAAAACCTGGGATGTGTGTATCAGGCAACGTTGCAATTGGGAGGCAATTGGGGGAGGGCTGGCAGACACACACGCATTCTGAGAGCCAAAAGCCACTTGAGCACTCGCAACATCACAACTAAAACAACAACTGTAGACCCTTTACCAGGTGCTGTGCCATTGCAGTATGTCGGCCCGAATGTGTGCACACAATTGCACACATGACAACTACGAACGGACACAAACTAAGGAACGTGTTCCGGAAACCCGTTTGGCTACTCGCGAGCAAGCATGACTTGACATCAGCATCTCAGCAAAGTTGGGGGGGTCAGGTCAGCGTGCCAGCCGACAACATATCGTGTCTGCGTGCACGCGTCTGCATAATAGGGGTGGCAACACGTCAGCGCTCCACAATTTTTGTCGATGTCTGGTGTTGCCTGATGCCTTTCCCAGGCGGCATGATAAAATCCTACCGATCGGCAATGCGGATGTTGTTTTTTCATTGGTTGTTGATCCATGTCAGTCCTGCTTCACGTGATGGTGATTGAGTTCTGCGGAGCCCGTGTTGGCAAACAGACTTTGCAAACTGACTTCTGCAACCCTAAAGAGAGGGGTGTGACACCAAACCCGCCTGAACTCAGACTGCTCATGGGTACAAAATGCATCCCTGCACATTCCAATGAAATGAAAAATCGCAATGCCTGGGAACCCACTCAATCATTCCTTGATGGCCGCTGTTGTCCAACACTACCCGTCCGAAACGCAAAAAAATTTGAGCCTGTTTTCGGTTCATTGTTTGCTGAGCCATGTGCAACCCTGGTTCTAGGCTAGCTGGAACTAGCTGGGTATGGTAAGGGAAATGACCCGGGAAGAGGAGGCTGGAACATGGGGAGGAGATGGGAGAAGGAAGAGGAAGGCTATGAAATGCCAGGGAGAGCGGCCAACCACGACCTACCCAAAGTCTCCTTCGGCCTTTCATTCAAAGAAGGGACCATTGCTTTCCTAGTTTATTGGTCTGTCTGGGGGTCTGGGCCAAGCATTTTGTAAGGGGATGACCCCTGAGAAACTCCAGAGTTCCTCCAGCAGAAAGCCTGATAGCCCACCAGGACCTAGCCAAAGCCATCCAAAGCCTCTCTTGGTCTTCCTTGGGGAGGGAGGGAGAGAGAGAGAGAGAGAGAGAGAAAGAGGGGACCATAGTTTTCCCAGTTTATTTGTCTGTTTGGAAGTCTAGTTGAGTCATGTTATAGTGGGATGGCCTCCATGAAATGGTTGGACCAGACAGGGCGGGTCGAACACCCGTACAGCTCCATGGAAACTCCAGAAATCCACCAACAAGAAACTCACATAGGCCCACCAGGAGCCAAAGTTTTGCTTTGGGTTTTCATTAAGAGAGGGGGCTGTTGCATTCCTGGTCTATTGGTCTGTCTGGGGGTCTGGCCCAGTCATTTGGTAGTGGGATGACCTCTGTAAAATGGTTGGGCCAGACCCTTCCCAGGCCAGGTAGATAGGAACTTGTGGAGCACACCCCTGGAGCCCCCTGAATTCCTCCAGCAGGAAGCCTAGTCCCACCAGGACACATGGTTTTCCCGGTCTATTGGTCTGTCTGGAGGCCTGGTCCAGTCTCTATAAAATGGCTGGACGAGACCCCCAGACACACCAATAGAACCCAATAGCCTAGTAGGGAAAACAAAAAACTTTGGCTAGGTCCTGGTGCGCCTGACTTATAGCGTTTGATTTGTTAGGTTGTTTTTTTTTTGGTCTGTGTCTTGGGCATGTGCGTTTCACAGAAAGATTATGTTTTTTCCTCGCACTTTTTTCTGCGCTGAGGTTTGATGTCTGGGTGGACTGTTGTATACTGGCCAGTCTCCAGTTGTGCATTGTGATGAACTGTTTTTATACTAGCCAGCCTCCAGATGTGCGGGTGGGGGGTGGGCGAGTCCTACCCCCGGGGCTGGCCAAGTCCAGGCCTTAGGCGAGGCGGGAGACGGGAGGTGGGGTCAAGGGGGCTTGTGCCAGAATGTCACTGAGGCAGGGGGTGTCTCCATCGACGGCGTCGGCCACTAAGCTGGCTGGAAATGAGGAGGGGGGACCACCGACCCACAAGTCCAGCAATCGTGGCCGCCCGGAGTGGTCCTGGTGCAGGCCCGGCCCTGGCCCTTGCTAAAACGACTAAGCGGCACCGGCCTCCACGGGTGAGTTCTGGGTATGTGCGCTCTTAAATATGAAGTCAAGTCCTTACAAGGTTCAGTCCTCCACAGGCGGTGAAACCGTCGGAGTTGGGGCTGTACATTCAGCTCTGGAAATGTTGGTGGGTGCGACACCAACCAAGTACAACGCCGTCCATCAGGGCAATCGCACCCTCATGTTCGAGGAGGTGGCGAGCAGCACCCAAAGCACTGCTGTAAGGGAACATCTCAGGATCGGCTCGCGCAACCTGAAGTCGAGTCTTCAAAACGTCCACGGGGTTTGTTACGGACGCGGTTCCCCGTTGGTGGTGAGGGGGGGACGAGGGTGGTGTGTATGGCCAGCTGGGCACCTTGGAACAATGGGAGGCCATTGGCAGTGACTTCAATGCGGCGGCTGTCCATGCGATCCACGGATGGAAGGTGGAGGTCTGCAAGGAGGGTGTTGGTTGCAACACGTGCGCAAACACCCGCGCGGCAGCTCGTTCCAAGGGGCAGCCCCGGCTCCTGAGAACACCAGACCGAGGGCACACCGAACGGTGGTCGCCAAGGGGGTCGAGGACGCGACGGCACCGACAAGTGCGTTCAGTCAGGGGCAGTGGGAGACGGAGCCGACGAAGCATGAGGAGCCGGAATAAGTGGCTGGGGTAAGCCAAGTCTGACGAATGCGGGACTGAACACTCGACTGGCAAATGGCCCTGACTGTGAGGCCATCATCGCTGCACTGGCTGGGTCCAAGGTGTTTAACAGTTCTGTGTGCCATGCTTTGTGTACAGCAGCTGTGGTTTCGCGTTGCCAGCCTTGTTGCAAAGTGTGTGGCTGTGGTGATCCATCGGGGAGTGGGGGGGGTTGCAGGCCCTGCTGGAGTGCTTGGTGTAATTGGTCAGCTGCGCGGCTGGCTGCTTGCAAGGACGGGGGTGCTGCATTGGGATGCAGGAGATGTTGGGTCACACGGTGAGTCAAATCTGGCGCTTGTTGTTAGAGGGTGGGCAAAGCATCGGCCCAAGATGCCCAGTATGCGGCATGTGCTAGGCAAGTGGCGCATGTCAAACCCAAACCGCCTTGAAGAAAAAGCAGGTGCACACGGGCAAGCGCTGCCGCGGGGAGGGGGCTGGTTTGGAGCAGCTCGGTGAGGGTACTGGCGACTGCCACATCGTGGTCGCTGGCAAAAGTGGCCGTTGTGGGCGGTGGCAAGTTGCGCAGTAGGTAGTTGGCACGAGGGCAGGCACAAAACAAGGGGAGCAGCCAAGAGGCTTGCACGTCTTCAAGTGCAGGGATCTTTTCGAGAAACTCCGAGTGTTGAGCCGAGATTTGTTGCAACTGGGTTTGGATGTAGGCTGGGTGCCCGATGGGGACTCCGAGAACGCGGAGCCCTTGGACGTGTGGCAGGGATGAATGGTTGCCGACCCAAACTTCTGGACCAAGGTCACTGATATTACGTGGGGCCTGGCCCGCCGCATTCCAAACGCGGGCTTTCCTGTGGTTGAGGTGCACATGGGCATGGCGAGACAAATGGTGCTGCAATAAGTCCAAGAGAGTCATTGGGTTGCAATTGTTGCTGCACTGCCGCCAACGCAGCATGCTGGCCGTGTCATCTTTATAGGCCACAGACGGGTCAGGCCAACCCACTATATAGAGAGGTGCTGAGGACCAAGAATGGGACCTGATGGAGCAGAAGAAATTACCTGCGACACGTCAAGCATGAGCAAGGAGGATGAGGATTGCGCTGCGTTTCGCCATGCCGCCGTTTCATGAGGATCACGCTACCAAGCCTGAGTTTGAGATTGATATTTTCCTCTAAAAACTTGGAAAGATATTGAACATTGTATATGATGTGGTATCCTCAGCTCTTCACGTTCTGTTGTTTTTGCAAGCTGGTTTAAACTAGTGCTTGGCAAGGGATTTCAAAACACTGGCCCGGGCTGACCGTTGGGCCAAACAAGTGGCTGTGTTTTGGCATGCTGGCTGAAAAGCGCAGTAAAAACGCTGTTGACACTTCAATATTAGGTAGGGTCATGTTATATAAACAGTGGTTTTCAGTCTATACACCTGACAGGGTCCTCCACAAAATGGGTGGAAGGACCCCCTGTCTGGAACGGACAGGGGCATATATATATATATATATAGATGCATTAAAAGGAACATTCATCATAAAACAAAACAAAACTGCATCGGAGTGGAAAAAATTGAATTGGCAAGGACACCCTCAGCAAGCGCGATTCCTGTATAAAATCTGTCCCTGACAACCCCTGCGGGGGAGGTATACAACGTTTGATTATATTGGACACTCCCCTGTCTATTTTCCCGTGAGTTAATTTTTTTTCGCGCTGAAAGTCGGGGAGCGAAAAGCTGGTGAGCCGGGCAGGTTCCGGGCCAAAAGGGGCCAATGGGCCCCCTTTAAGGGGAAGAGGCGAGCCGGCAGGGGCGCAAACCCTCCGTCGCCCACGAATGCATTGCAAAAGGGGCCCACGTGCAAGGGGCCATGGTGGATGGCATTGTTGGTTTGGAGTCAGCCGACTGTGCTTCTGCGGGCCAGGCCAATAGAAACAAGTTTTGGATACAGACGAGGGGGTGGTGTGGTGTTTTTATCAAAACAC